GGTGAATAAGAAATATATAGCTTCTTCCCTCAATCACTTATCCTCAGTGGGAAGGGCCCACAAAGGTGGGAGTCATCACCCCTTTCCTGGGTTGTAGATAAATGATGAGGGAATAGCTTTCTAGGCCCTCATCCCTGCCCTGCAATGGTCAGAGAATGAAAAGGAAATAATGGAAGCAATGGCACTGTGAGTCCCCCAACCCCCTTACCAGTTGAGGAACAAAGTGTGCACCAAAACTGGTCTTCTTCGTTTATTCTCCAATGCCATGAATACCCTGGAAAACCACCATATTTTGTCACCTCTAAAAGACAGTCAACCTCATACTAATATAAGAGGGACGTCCCTATAAGCCATCCCACTGTCAAGGCCTGGAGCACTGAGCTGCCCTTCTGGGAGCCATGGCAGAAGAGTGGGCCTGCACGTTCTCTCACTCATTCCTCATTCTCCTTTTAATGACCCTTCACCGTTTCACTTAGTGAAATTTCCTTTTCATCTTTACATGGTATAAAAACAGATACTTTACCTTTAAAATATTTTCTCATTATACTGCCCAAATTCATTTTGGATACCCCCATTGTTCACAAATACATTGTGATTGGCTGAGAAAATGCCTCCCCCCACCCCCACCCCCAGAGATGTCCATGTCCTGGAACCTCTGAATCCTCAGAACCTCTATGTTACTTTATATGGTGAAAGGGATTTTGCAGATATGATTAAGGAACCTGAGATGGGGGGATTATCCTGGACTATCCAGGTACACCCACTATTATCACAAGAGTCTTTGTATGAGGGATACAGGAGGGAGGGAGAGAAAAATTAATGAGAAGGGGGAAGGAGAGATTTTGGAACATGCTATGCTGCTGGCTTTGAAGATGGAGGATGGGGCCCCAAGGCAAGGGATGCAAGCCACCTCTAGAAGCTAAAGAAACTTAAGAAAACAGATTCTTTCCTAGAGCCTCCAGAAGGAACAGTACTGTAACCCATTGGACTCTGACCTCCAGAACCAGAATAAACTTGTGTTGTTTCAAACCAGTAAGTTGTGGCAATTTGTTACAGCAGCAATAGGAAATTAATATACTACAGTTCAGCACTTAACTCGTACTAATCAACTATCCGCCCTTGCTCAGGACATTTTATGTAACAGATTCTCAACTTTTTACATAATAGATTCTCCACAAATATGTACTGAATTGAATCTCCCGAAAAATTAGTGTTCAATATACATGTTTGTTGAAACATGATTTTCAACAACTCACTCAAATATATTACAAGCATGTGTCAAAGATTTATTTCATCAATGAAAGAATCTACAGAATGGTAAAGCTGATTCAAAAGAGAAAGTAAGAAACCATCAATTATACATAGTAGGGAAAAAATGCTGAAATTGTGATCCAAAAATTAAATATGCAGTTAATGTCTGGCAGGGCAATAAAACTGTTCCCTTTGGGATTATCTTTCTACCAAAATGAAATCATCTCCACCAAACAAAAATAATTTGCAACTTATCAGTCTTCCACAAATTAACATCTAACTTTATTGACCCTAGGACTTCAACAGTAAATACTAAGTCCAACAAAGGTACCTGGTACCTCCCCCTGGAACTTCAAATGACCTTTCAGCTGGATTGTCAGATAATGCTCTTACTTTAATGTTGAAAAGGTACACAAAATCTTTTTTCCTATTTCCTAGTTGTATCTAATTTTTCAAAACAGACTTCTTCTGGCTATCTATTAGTGAGTAATAAAGTACTCCAAAATCTTACAGCTTAAAGCCACAACCATTTTATTATATATCGCATTATTATGGGTCAGGAATCTGGGAAAGGCTCAGCTGAGTGATTCTTCTGCTCCACGTGGTGTTGCTCAATGATTTTCAGCTCATGCTGAGCCAGTCTAGAGAGGCCAAGACAGTTTTGTTCACTTGTCTGGTGTCTTGACTGTGATAGCTAGTAAACTGGATTTCGCTGGATCCCTCCCCCTTTCATGTAGTCTCAGGGTCGTTCTACGTGATCTCCTCAGCAACGTAACTGGGCATCTTATATGGACTAATGAAGACTAGATGCAGAACTGGCATAGTTATCCCCTCTCCCATAATCCATCTGTCAAAGTAGTCACAGTCCAGTCCAGATTCATGGAGAGGAAGAACAAAAATCCACCTCTTGATGGGAGAACTGCCAAAGAATCTAAGGCCTTGTTTAATCCACCACAAGTTTTACCCTGTGAATTTTTATTTCCATGATATTGCTTATCTTTTTGTCCTAATATCTGTCGCACTGAAGGTTTCCATAACTTTCTGGGACATTTGCCATAACACGGTTGACTATGTGAGAGATGAGCCTCTGGGCAGCCCACCGCTCTTCTCCCTCCCTACAACCCTTGGCAAGCATTCATGGACAATGTCTTAACGCAGTGCTTATCAAAGTAGAACCAATAACATCTGTATCACCTGGGAACTTGTCATAAACACAGTTAATTCTCAGGTCCCACATATTTAGAGCTACTGAATCAGAAACTCTGTGTTGGGGCCCAGCAGTCCGTGTTTAAACAAGCCCTCTTGGTGATGCAGAGACACTGATTTAGAGGTGTGTGTACGTTACTTAATAAAATTAATACCATCTGAAACTAGTTTCACAAGAAAGTGTTTTATGTTTCCTACATATTAAAAATTAAAGTTTTACAATTATTAAAAAAAATGTAAAGCCTGTAAATACCGCCATGGATTATTTGCATTTCACAGAAAAAGGATAGACAAAACCAAAGAATGCCCAGTGGCTTTCTCTAATTGATGCCCTTTCTCAGCTGTCAAAAGCCTCTTCCGCCAACCCCTCCTACACACAGGAAGGACCACTCTTTCAGCCTACTCAAGGAACACTCTCCAGAGGTGTCACACCTTATTTCTAAAGAATCACTTGTGCAAAGAACTGGTACCCTATCCATCTTTAAAATGGGCCTGTGACCCAACTTTAAAAAAACACATTATTCCTTCAAAGGGACTCCCATAACTTTGTTGATCCTCTCCACCCTGTTTTCTGTTTCTTTGATTTTGTATTTTATTATTTCTTTCCTTCTACTTTCTTCAGCTTTATCCTATTCATTTATATTCAGGCTTTCCTATTTTCTTACATAAACTGCCTTAGCTATACCCTACAAATCTTGATAAGTTGATAAATAATAACATTCTGTTCTAATATTTTCTTCTTTCCATTATGTTCTCTTTTTACATAGTTTGTGAATTAGAGGTGCTTTTCTTTTTTCAAATTTCTCATTTTGAACATAATGATAAGAAAACATGACCTACATCATCAAGGATTAGCAAAGTTTCTGTAGATGATCAGATAGTAAATATTTTAGGCTTTTTTGACCAAATGGTCTCCATTTTAAGTACTCACCTCCACCTTTGTTGACCTCAAGCAACCAAAGACAGTATGTTAATAAATTAGGGCAGCTGTAGTCCAACATGACTTGACATACAGCAAGTAACTGGCCATATTCAGCCAAGGACCACAGTTTCCCAACCCTTGTCTATATGACACCAATTATTTGGTCATTGTGGCTGTTATCTAGAGCTCATTTTGTAATGTTCCATGCATGCTTGAAACCATCATCTTACCCTTGTGCTGCTCCACTCTAAAAGTTCAGGCCTGGCACGCGTAAATATTTGCTTTTGTTAAAAATTGTCACAGTGATTCAGAGATTGGGTTTGGGGATCAGATATACCTCAGCTGCCAGCTTTGCCACTTACCACTGGGTAGTTTGGGGCAAAATGCTAAACATCTCTAATCCTCAGGGTCGTGATTTACTGAGAAAATAATAGTACCTACCTCACGGGGTTGGCATAAGGAAGGATTCGGTGAGATAATCCATACAAAACACCTAGCAGAGTGGCAGGCAGACTTCCATTGTTGTTATTAGAATTAGCATCATCATGCCACTGAAGCACTATTCTGTGAGGCAGGGATCATTAAACCTATTTTATAAAGAAATTAAGACTTAGACACGTCTAGATAACTTGCCCAAAATTTTACAGCCAGTGACAAAGCACTGATTCTCACCCAGCATTTCTATTTCCAAATCAAAGGATCCAGTACTCAGGCTCTGACTAATCCAGTCACACTAACATTTAAGGAATTTACTGTATGCCATTCCTAGGCGAGGCTGCATTTTAAGACACCGGGAGAAAGGAGTTGCGAAATGCTCAGGAATTCTAGGTGGTGCAAACAGTCCTTACGGGGAAGGAGCTCGTTCCGTGAGCTCAACGGGACGAAAGGGCATAGGAGGTGCTAGCGGAGGTAACATGCCACTATACAGAGTCCTGGCACCGGGGCGCCAGATCTTACGACCTGGACAGACACCGTTCTGGACTCGAGGCTCCAGGGAAGTGGTGTCGCCCAGCGGCGCCCACAGGCTGGCGCTCCCCAGCTCCAATGACCTTGCCCGCCGGCCGTGCTGCCCTTTTGTGCTCTCCCGCTCCCCGTGCCCGCAGCGCCTGGCGCCTAAAAATATCACCCTGGGTGAATCTCCTGGAACACGCAGTCAAAATTTTTTAAATGGGCGCCGTCATTACTTGGAGACATAATTCACAGCCCCGACCTGCTGGTGATTCAGCGAGTGAAGTGCCGCTGAAAGTGGCGACGGATTCAGCCCCTTTCGATGGCCTAACTTTTCATTTGTTTCCCCTCCACTCGGCGAATATCATATATCGTGAGGAATGCGAGCAGCCCGAAGACCGCACTGGACGCAGGAAAGACAGCCTGGGTATCTCCATTTCTCCGGGCCCCGGCTCACCCCGGCACTCTTCAAAGCCAAACCCTGTGACAATTACAAGGGTTTTCTCCGCCCCGTCAGTGACGGAAAACTCGTGACTCTGACAACCGCGCGGGGCTGGCGCAGAGAAGCCGAGGGCGGAGCCACGAGTTGGGTTCGCGAAGAAGGCACTGACGGGCAACGCGTGCGCAGTCGCTCGCCACGGGACCTCCTTCCCGCCGCTGAGACTAGGAAGCGGGACGCCAAATCTGTCCCCGCGCAGCCGCCGCCGGGCGCCAAGCGGGGCGGCCGACCTCCCTGAGGCGTGTCTGTTCACGTTCCCACGCACGCTCCGGCGTACGGCGGCGGCCCGGGGTCGTGAGCCGGCGAAGACCCGCGCGCGGAGGAGCCGGGAGACTCAACGTTTCTTCCCTCCCTCCCCCATTCCCTTCCCCGCTCCCTCCCCTCCCAAGAATGTTCCGCTACGAGGTGAGCAGTTGCGACCGGAAGTGGCGCCTCCCTCTCTCCCGCGCCCCCTTTCCTCTCACACTCCCGCGGGTCTGTCCCGTGCTCCAGGAGGGAGGTTGAGGGGAGGCCGGGTCGCGGAGTGTGGCGCCTGGGGTCGCGGGCTTCATCGGTGGGCTGTGAGCTGGCTTCAGGGGGCGGGACTGCCCTTTCAGTTGACGCTAGGGCGAGTTGGCCTCTCTTTTGGGGCGGGGAGGGCCCGTTAAGTGCCGTAACTAGAGTGCCGGCCACCCCTGCCGGGAGGAGCCGCACAGGGGAGAGCCTTGCGCCCACCCGGCGGCTCTTCTAGAGGAAAAGTCACTCTGGGAAAGACGTTTCCCGCCCTGGGCGCGGAACCACCTCCGCGCCAGTTACACACAAGGGGGTTACGGGGGCCTGGTCTTGCCCTTTGACTGGGACCGGAGATTGTTTACTAAAGGGCTCCGAGTTGGGAGGGGGCGTGTCCAGGAGAAGTTCCTTCTGGGCGAGTGAAGGGAAACCGTGGGTTTGGTGGTGATCCCGGGAATGTAGCAATAGTCCTGACCCTGTCACTAATTCACTGAATGACCTTGAGCGACTCTTAATTTCTGGACGTAAAGTTTCTGGACTTGTAGAATGAAAGGGCTGGTCTAAGTAGTCTGTAAGAGTCTAATTTTAAAAAGCAGCGATTTGATTAAGTGGATCTTTGTGATTTGGAAGAGAATGTTGCTGAAAGTTGCCTCTGATGGGGAGACAATTGCATCCTTGTTTTGGGTAAGTTTGGGAGGGCTTAAGACGGGTAGAATGGCCCATTGGCTTAGCCTTTCCTTTGGGAACAAGTTTGCTAAGAGGAGGTAGGTTAGCAAGATGTATTACAAACCTACTTACCGAGATAGTGTGAAATTCCGATTCGGAAGCCTTTGAGGTTTGGGGACATATACACTCGGTACTCGATGGAAATGGTTCAAGACCAAACTGTGTAAACATGGAGAGAGATAATGAGATGTGGTAGGCAGAGTTGCCAAGAGAAAAGGAAACTTGAGAAATAAATAGGTGAAAACTGAAGTGGAGGGGAGAATCATTAAAAATAGAACACCACACCAGAGTTGTTAAGGTGGTATCTAGCATTTTTTAGCAATCCACAATCTTTGCTTCATTTGATCCTCACCTCTCTGAGGTAGGTGGTATTGTCCCTTCATTACCACTTAAGAAACCGAGGCTTAATTAGCCTGAGACACAATAGGTACTCAAGAGGTATTTGATGAATTAATCAGAAAGAATGAGACTCTCCCAAGTTCAAAAACTTGTAAGAGTGGAGCCAGAACATGAACTTGTTATATCACAGTCTTCTAGAATTCACTTAATTGTGGTTGAAAATTTAGCTTTCTGGTTTAACAAGAGTTTGGGTCCTTAGGAAGCGAAAGAGGAGAATGATGGAAATGAAGAGAAAGCATTAAAAGGGAATAATAAAATAGCTGAAAAGCTGATGTGAAAATGGGGAAGATGAGAATTTTGTTGAAAAATATACATAAAACCCAAGCAAGATAATAAAGTGTTTATTTTTAGTTGTCTTTACTATTCCAGTCAGTGATGTAAAGGAAGTTGTGGGCCTAATTTCTTGATTGCATGAGGAAATGCTATTCTCAGATTCTTAATAGAGAAATGGAATGTTTGGGGGGAGGGGGAAGGTTAAATGAAAAAAGGACTAGGAAAGAGAAACTGAAAGGAGATGCTGATGTCCGGGATATTGGGGGATAGAAAAAAATGCCATCTTTGCAAAAGGTCATACCATTCTGTTGATTGGGAAGGTAAGATAATGTTTCTTAAATGAGGGTGTGAACTTCATGAATCTCTAATTTTTTTTCTCTTTTTCTTAGTCTTTGGAGGATTGTCCTTTGGATGAAGATGAAGATGCATTTCAAGGTCTGGGAGAGGAAGATGAAGAGATTGATCAATTCAATGATGATACATTTGGAGCAGGTGCAGTTGGTAAGTGACATCTTTGTCTTATGTCATCTTGATCTCTTGATCTTTTCAAATGCTCTCATTTATAAGTGCTTTGTCAAAATAGGAGTAATCTCATTCACAGATTTGGCAGAATATTCTATTCTTGATCCCAGAATAGTCCAGTCTTCTTTGAAAGTATCTACCCTGCTTGTCTGGACCTCTTTTTGCCGCACTTGTAAAACCAGATATTCTCTAAGCCCTATCCCTTTGCTATATGACCTTTATAGGTTGATACTCTTAAGTAATTCAAAATGGACATTTTACAAAGGTTTAAAATAATCTAAAAGAGAGAAGTTATTCTTTGTGGAACATGTTTAGGAAAACTTGTGTAGTGGGCTAGGAGAAAACTTGGATTCAGAAATGTATGTTTTAAAATTCAGTTATCAATGATATATTGCATGACCTACTGTATTGTCTTATAGTATCTTCAATAAAGTAAAAAGCTTCTTATCCAAAGAATTACGGTGGTAGAACAAAGTCTTCATCAGTTAGAAAAGTACTGTGCACACATGAAATTTTCCCATCCTGGATGTAGATAAATATTCTAAGAGGTGGAAAGGGTTAAAAAGTTAAAGCACCAAACTAAGCTTATAGGACACAGACTTAAAATTACTGATATGGGAAATGTAGGGAGCAAGCTTATATGATAATGTTCAAGAATTAGAGATCCTAGAACAAGTATACTAATAAGTTAAAATTGAACTACACTTTTAAGAAAATGGATAGGTAGTAGAGTCAATGCAAATGCTTTTGCTATAGCTGTTGGTGTTAAAAAGCAGCAATAACTGAATATGTTGGGACATGTGATTTCTTTGGAATCACAGCACTTCTGTCTATGCAACAAATATTCAAAGTTAAGGGATAAGAGGAAATTTTGCAGTAATGTGTAATCCCAAGATAATTGATTATCAAAAATAAATGAGGTCTTTAAAGTGTTATGATAGTTCCTGGCTTTGTAATGATGCAAACAGCTTAAATTTATTAAAACTTCACTGAGTTAAATGATCTGGCAAAAATGAAAAAGTATACTGTTGCCAAGTAGGGTATACAAAATTCAGGAGAGATCTAAAACTGCCACTATTGGGAGCAGTAGCAGAAGTGGTTAAGGTAGAAGCTGGGCTCAGTACAGAAGGAAACCAAAGCCCTTTTGGATGATAGCCACAGCTTAAGAGGTGAGATCATCCAAGAGGATGACATGATCTAAAATGCTATTCTCTCTCCATGGAGATCACAGCAAAAGGGAAGTAGAATAGAATTAAAAAAGCAGGAAACTGATGTGATTTGCAAATTGTTTTAGAAGTTAAGTTAGTAATAACCTATAGAAGACAACAGAAGCTGTAAACAATGTGTGCTTGTTTCTAGAACTCTTTCTTTTTAAAATACTGTACTGACACCATGTTTTGGCAGATTCCTCAGTATTAAAGTGAGGTTGATGGAACTGGTTATAGATATATTAAGATGAGGCAGCATAGTAATATGTCCTCAGTTTTGAACCTGGACAGAAAAGGAATAGTCTTGCCCTCTTGACTTCCTGAGTACTGTGGACAGTCTTCTTTTCTGAATTTCTGTGTTCCAAAATGGGGAAAATATTGCCTTAGGGTTAATAAGGATGTTAGAGTGTGCTGACCTCTATTTTTATATGATGGGAAAAAGAAAAGTACACAGAAGTTGAAAAAGTAAAATAACAGATAGTAAAAAAAAAAAAATAAAGGCAGTGAAATAGCATATGGTTTAGCCCACTTTGTACCCTGGGGTGTAGGAGTGATAAGAAGGATTTCATGGTCAGAAAAGTTTATAGTGGAGAAAAGATTTCCAAATGTGAACCCTTTCCATTGACAATATAACATACAGAATTATAAAGCAAAAATCATCTTGATATAAAAACTATATGGGTTTATAAAAAGAAAATTGTTTTCTAAGTCAACCTATGACTTGTTTTGTATACCTCTACAGGTAGATACAGCTGGTACAGAGAATTTAAACCAGGAGGTAAAATGGCAGAACTTCAAAATGTTTTGGTTTGATGTTTTTTAATTCAATGAATGAATGTCTTGAAAATACCTATTAGTACAGTAGTTGTTTTAAGTCCCTGGCTACAAATGCTCTGATGTCACCTTTTCTTAAGAAGCTAGTCCTTGACTTCTGCATGGAAAAATACTTGCATCATCTTATGGCAGTAATGAGCCACAGTAATCTCAACTCATTCTCTAAAAATAAAAACTTACACTTCAAAGTGCTTATTACATGCGAGGCACCATTCTAAAGGCTTTACATATATTATTAATCCTCACAGCAACCTTGTGAAGTAGGTAGGTACTGTTATTATCCTCATTTTAACAAATGATGAAGGAAAGTGCCAGAGAGGTTAAGTAACTATAAATACAATTAGTGTAAACTATCAGTTCTGTTTAAACGGTCTTTGGGGAATCTTTGGGAATCTCTTACCTCCACTTGAAAGGGCTCCCCATTCTTTCTGCTTCCCTTTTATTGATAGCTGCTATAATCTTCAGGGACTGAGATTGCCTTAAAATTAAATCACCTCTACTTCCTTTTCATTTTGTTTTTGTTCAAAAATATTGCTGAGACCGTCTTCAGGGGAATATTAGAAGTATAAGTTTATAGAAGCAGCCAGGAATTTAGCAACTCACATCTGGGCATATAGGTAATTAGTTGAAGAAAAACAGTTACTTCTTTCTCTTCATTTCTCTGTTACTCTTTTGTCTTCCCTTTATCATTTCAACTAGTGTGGATTGAGGGTCAAGTATTTGGCATATCTGAGTAACTGTATTTTTAGGTCATTTGAAAAGAATACAGAGTAAAGTATCCTCTGGCATGCAATCTCTGACATACTGCTTCAGATGATTTTTCACAAAAGCAAGAAAAATCCAAAATGATGATGGTAATTTCTAGCATAGATTCCTTTGCCTACTTGTTTGAAAAGTGTAATCAGTTCGCTACAGAGCCATTCTAACAGTGTTTTTTAAATGTATCACTAAGGACAAACAGACTGTTCATCTTTGGTAGATTTATTCATCTGATAGAGTTAATAAACATGAGTATGGAAAGTAGTGAATGAAACAATGCAAATTAGAACTCTGCTGCATTAGAATCAATCCATTAACAAATTTTTAAATTGGAGAAATGTAAGAAAATCCCTTAATTCAGGATTATAGACTCCTATTTTTTTGCATTGCTAAGTTAGTAAAATTGCAAAAAATAATTTGTCCTTTAAAAACTTGTTCAGCTTATTCTTAGCAAAGATACAAATATTAATGTCACAGTTGATTTTTAATCACACTCTTCTTCAAATAAGTGATAATTCAAAAAATACTATAATTTTCATCTTTTTCCCTTTACCACAAGTAAAGGGATACATTCAAATCTACCACAGTGTCCAAAGACTAGACAGTGGTTCTGATCATACCAAATTATAAACTTGGAAATCCCACTTCCCTTGCTTTTTGGAACACTACTGTTATGTGGTACATTGTTACGTAATAAAAATAGCAAATTTTAAATGTTTATAATCTGATCCTGAAAGGGACTTAAATTAAATATTTAAGATGTTAGGGTATGTGTAATATTCATTACTACATTAATAGTTACATTGAAAGTTTGCAAATAATCCAAATTTCCAATATCAGTAAGGGATAAATTAAATTTGTTCAGCAGAATAAAATCTTACATAGATATTAAAAAGAACAAGATGATATTAATCATTTATGTGTATATATGTTCATAAAAAGTTATCTAAGATATATTGTTTAAATAAAAAGAAACAGGTTAAACTTTATAGTTTGCAATTTGAGAAGTTAATATACTTGTGGAATTATAGGGACTTTCACTTTCTAAGTTACATATTTGTGTGATTTTTTTAAAATTTTTAAAAAAAAAAAAATTTAATTAAAAAAAAAAAAAAAAACAAAGATAATTTTATCAAGTTGTACATGAGCCTTACAGAAAATAGTCAATAATCTAAATCTTTTTTTTGTTTTTAAATAGCTACCATGTATTATAGCCTTAGTATATATCAAGTACTTTTCTTTTCCCTTGTCATGGTGCCTCCAGTTCTTCCTTCTCTTTCCTTTTAATGAGGTATATAGAAAAATTATTTGGGGAGTTTTGTCACTGAAGACACTTTTTCAGACTTTTGTGTTTACATATTAGTTATAAAGGGAATTAGCTGTTACCCTCTTGTTGAGTTTTATAGGACCTACAAAAGAAAAACTAAAGTAAGAGTAAAATATATAACATTTACAAAAGAATAATGAGGGGTTTTTTGTGTGTATGTGTGTGTTTCCCTTAAGTTTTTTTTTTTGGGTATCATTAATCTACAGTTACATGAAATGAGGGTTTTTTTGGGTTTGAAAGTCGTACATGTTTAGATGAGGTGAAGGTAGAATTAAAATGAAGAAGTTAATTCAAAGAAAGCTTCCTTTAAATGTGTTTCCCTTAAGTTTTTTTTTTTGGGTATCATTAATCTACAGTTACATGAAATGAGGGTTTTTTTGGGTTTGAAAGTCGTACATGTTTAGATGAGGTGAAGGTAGAATTAAAATGAAGAAGTTAATTCAAAGAAAGCTTCCTTTAAAAGGAAATGCTTGAATGCTGAGCTTGAATGCTGAAAGGAGCAAAAGGGTGAGTGGAGCTTTGGTGATAGAAGCAGAATGGACTGATGGCACCAAGGAGGATGGCGTGAGAGCAGTGATGGGGATCTAGTTCCAGAGAAGCTGACAAAGGGTTCTGAGGATTTTCATCTATGCTGTAACGGGACTAAAAATAATGCTGTGTCAGCATGGCAACAAGACCGAGCTACAGACTGTAGAGTAGCGTGCAGCAATTGCAAAGACTGACCCAGGTCCAGGTCACCATCACCTTTGTGTACTGCAGTGGCCACCTGGCAGGCCTCCTGCTTCTGTCATTCCTGCCCCTTTCCAGTGTTCTCAACACAGCAACCACACTGTTGCTTTCAAAAAGTCAAGCCACATCAAAACTTGCAGTGGCCATCCATTTCCATCCAGATAGCCCAGAATACCCTGCAGGAGCTCCCTCCTAGTACCTTCCTGACTTCATTTTCTTCTACTCTCCCACCTTGATCATTCTATTCCAAACACAGTCCTTGCTGTTTCTCAGAATTATCAGTCTCTCATCTTAAGGTCCTTTTATGACTGTCCCTCTGCCTGGAGCACTCTTGTCCCAGATATCCACAGGACTGACTGTCTCATTCTTGAATCTTTGCTCAAACGTTAACCTTTCAATGATCTCTTCTACTCCATAATTCTGTGGCTTTTCATCTTCTAATATGTTGTCTTATGTACTTATTCATGTTTTATGTACTTATTTAATGTCTTATGTACATTAAACCAACAGGTTGTAATGTACATATCTATCACCAGTCTGGAAATTGGTTTCAGAATATATAGAGTTTGGACACCATTGATCATGTACTAAGCTATTATTCTACATGCTTGTATTTTATTCCTGGTATGGTGTTACTTGTTTTTAATAGTGAAAAGCCCTTTTTAATACACTGCTTAGTTTAAACTTTATTTCATGTCTGTAAGTAGAAATTTAACTTTCCACCTGTCTTCTGGAGTTGGAATTATTCATTCGGTTAACAGAGGGGTTTTGTTTTTTTAGTTCCCATATGAACTATGTTTCTTGTTTATGGTTTCCTTACAGATGATGATTGGCAGGAAGCACATGAGCGCCTGGCTGAATTGGAAGAGAAGCTACCGATAACAGTTAACGAACAAACAGGCAATGGAGAAAGGGATGAGATGGACTTGTTGGGTGACCACGAGGAAAATCTTGCAGAAAGGCTCAGTAAGATGGTGATTGAAAATGAATTAGAAGATCCAGCTATCATGAGGGCAGTGCAGACAAGGCCAGTTTTGCAAGTGAGTAAGTTACTCTGATTTGAGAACTATAGCAGACTAATAATTAAGTGAAGCATTGAGCTTTGCCATTTTATCTCATGAACCATCCTAAAAGAAATACATATGCCATAGAAGATTAATACAGTTCCATATGATAGCAATTCTAGAGATAAAGTTGTAGAGTAATGTATATTCTGGAGTATTATACTTTATTATTCTCAGCAGTTGAGACTGTTTTGGGTCCTTGTTCACCAAAAGCAGGTAAGTCGCCCAGGGAGCCTACATGGTTCCAGACTTTGTGTATATGTTTTCCTTTTTTGTTAGCCCCAACCAGTTAGTCTCAATTCCAGCATCTGGGATGGATCTGAAGTTCTCAGGCGAATCCGAGGACCACTGCTTGCTCAGGTATTAAACATTTTCTTTTTGTATAGAATTCCTAATATCCAAAAAGTCCATGTTAGCTTCTGTTGTCATTCTTTCCTTATTGAAACAATGTAGAGATGTATTTCATTTGCCAGTATTGTGCTAATTACCTCATCCAGCTCTCATTGCTATACCTGTTGGGTGCACACTTCCTCAGCCTGCATGGTAAACTTGACTGTGCTTTATCTTGAAAAGGTTGAAAGAGAGCCATTGGAACTCAGATTTGTCAGTTAAGATTTGAATTACTTAAAAATTCGTTTTGAGGCAAAACTATAGGGACAGAGAACAGATCAGTGTTTGCCAGTATTTGATGTAGTGGGAGGGGTTGACTACAAAGGGACAATACAAAGGAACTTAGGGGAACAATGAAAGTGTTCTGTATCTTAATTATGGTGGTAGATCCATGACTGGGCATTTACCAAAACTCAGAAACTGTTTACCAAAGAGTAAATTTACTGGATGTAAAATAAAAATAAATGAAACTTTTAAAGAGCATTTTTCAAGATATTTTTGGCATCTGTGGAGATTATTAAAACATTTCAAGTTGCTGATTTCTCTCTGTCTTTTAACTACTTCCTCAATTAGGAAATGCCAACCATGTCTGTATTAGAATATGCCTTGCCTCAGAGGCCCCCACAGGGCCCTGAAGATGATCGGGACCTTTCTGAACGTGCATTACCAAGGCGGTCAACTTCACCTGTCATTGGGAGTCCTCCTGTTCGAGCGGTCCCTATCGGCACCCCACCTAAGCAGGTGGCTGTACCCAGCTTCAACCAACAGGTACCTCCCATTAACAGGAACTCAGCCCAGGATATTGGGAATCTGGGCAAAATTATTTGGGAAATTGGTGATGCTGGGTGGAGGGTGGAAGTGTCGTGTAGGCTTTAGATGAGTAAGAAGATAGCCAGTTAGAGAAGTTAGTGCAAATAAGAGACACACTTCTAGTGCCCTTTGCTGGTGCTGCTCCTATTGACGCTGCCTCTTAACTGGGGGAGAAAAAGGTAGTTAACCACATATAGTGTATATATCCTTTTTAAAGTGTTTTGCTGGCTGCCCAAAACATTGGCAGAGAGGTAACTGAAAGCTGGGGGGAGTGGGGACACCCAGCATTGTCCACATCCCTTTTTACCTTTAAGATATCCCTGCTTTCCCTAGAGCCTGTGCAGTCCTGTTCCATAGACTTTCCTCCACCTGAAACCAGCAGCTGAAAAAGGAAGGCCAATTTGGAAGGTATGGGGGGAGGGTGGTGTTGGTATGGCCTAGTTAGGCTCAATATCCAATGAAATGGTGGAGTCACATTGTGTCACCAAAGAGCTGAGCATGACGGCCATATCACAGGGGCTTTAGAACAGGACTTAGTTAATCCTCCAGCTTTCTTATCATTCCTTCTCCCTCACTGCTACCAAAATATATACTCTTGGAGAGAATTTGCAAGTCAGAATATCTGCTGGAACCTCCCTCAGATAGCATGGAAGGGTGGGGATAACTGGAGAATTAGCTAAATCTTCCTCGGTTAAAATTGGCACATTGGGTGATACTCCTGAGAGGAAGTGACCTAAGGTTCTAGTGTAAACCCATAGCCATAGCAGTGTGCTTAGAAGAGGGCTTTGCATTGAGTTCTGTGTTTCTACCAGTACTTGAGGGGAGGGAGTGTAGGTGGAGGAAAAACTGACTTCACTGAGTGTAGTTGTATATATGTTTGTCCTGATAGATTCTGTGTCCGAAGCCTGTCCATGTTCGGCCCCCAATGCCACCGCGCTATCCTGCTCCCTATGGTGAGAGGATGTCTCCAAACCAGCTGTGCGCTGTCCCGGTATGTCACTTCAAAGCCTAATGAAAGTGTCAAGTATATGTTTTCCAGTCATCACCATTTATAGACATCTCCTAAATTATATACATTTTTTGTAATTTCTGGATCTTATGGTCCATCATGTTCAGTTATTTCTTACCTGAACTCTTTTCTTACCTTTAAAAATCTAAACTCAGCCAGATCATCTGGTGTCCTGCTCTTTCAGTCTCTCATCTACTGTTTTCTTTTTCATGTTCATGATCATACTTTCTTCCTGATTTCCAGCATTACTCTTTTATCTTCCTTCAGTGGACAGCTTGACTGTACAGTTTGAGTGTTTTTATATCAAGTTTATTTTGCATTCCTAGAGTTCTCTTATTATTAATTTACCTGTTTCACAGTATGAATATAATTGTTTTTTTTCTTTTCCTTAGAATTCTTCCCTTCTGGGTCACCCTTTCCCTCCTAGTGTTCCTCCTGTTCTCAGCCCCCTCCAGAGAGCACAGCTTCTTGGAGGAGCACAGGTAAGCCTGTGGTTAACTGACCTGTAGAAAGGTCTCTTACTTTCCTAAGGTTCACTAGAGGACATCCCCCTTTTTGACTATTAATCAGTCTACTGCCTCTTCTTTCTTTCCTTTACTTTTTCAAACAAAGTCATTGATGGAAGCAGTATTTACTTTTCTGTAGGTAAAAGCAGGGGGCTTGCTGCTTAACTAATCTGAGATCTTGTCTCTCTTTGTAGCTGCAGCCTGGACGGATGTCTCCCAGCCAGTTTGCACGGGTCCCTGGATTTGTTGGTAGTCCGCTTGCTGCCATGAATCCCAAGTTGCTGCAAGGGCGAGTTGGGCAGATGCTTCCCCCAACACCAGGCTTCCGTGCCTTCTTTAGTGCTCCACCCCCTGCTACACCACCACCTCCTCAGCAGACCCCCTCTGGCCCAGGACCTCACCTGCAAAACCTAAGGTTATACAAACAAATGCCACTGTTTATCCATTGTTGGCCAAGTCTCTTGATCATTGAGGTTCAGTGTTACTGTAGCTTCTTGATATTTGCAAGGGATATATTTTGAGATGTTATTGGATCCTCAGGTTGCTGAACAGAGTATAATATTGGCAGTCTCCAGGCTTTCTTATGAATCACACTCCCTCGAGTCACATGTGTCCTGTATATATTTGCATATTGTTCATCTGTTGCCTCTTTTTATTTCTTCTAACATTTCTCATGTCTCACTTTACATCCACATTACAAACATACACATACTTACATATGCACAAAGAGCTTATTACTTAACGAGAATTACCTAAGGAACAGATCTCAGTGCTGAGTAGTCAGTTAATATCTGTGCAAACCAAGTTTACTTCTACTCTGGTTTGTAACAGAGGTGTTCAAGTTCCTGCTTCAGCAAAATTGTCTTTTATTACATACCATATTGTATCAGCGTTCTCCAGAGAAACAGAACCAATAGGATATGTGTGTGTGTGTGTGTGTGTGTGTGTGTGTGTGTATAAAATAGATTTATTTTAAGGAATTGGCTTATGTGATTATGGGGGGCTGGCGAGTCTGAAATCCTTAGGAAAGGCCAGCAGGCTGTAAATTCAGGTAAGAGTTGAAGTTGTAGTCGTGAATCTGAAATTTGTAGGGTAGGCTGGCCGTCTGGAAACTCAGGCAGGACTTCTGTGTTCCACTGTCACGCCAAAATTCCTTTTCTGGAAAACCTGTTTTTGCTCTTAAGGCCTTCAGCTGACTGGGTGAGGTCCACCCACATAATTGAAGGTCATCTCTTTTTTTCTTATATTCAATCAGTTGTAAATGTTAATGGCATCTACAAAATATCTTGACACCAACATCTAGACTAATGTGTGACCAAACAACTGGGTACCATAGCCTAGCCAAGTTGACATAAAATTAACCATCACACGCATATTTTCAGTGTCCTTCTCAAATAGTTGAAACTAAGTACGTTAAATCTATTTAGATACTTCTGTTCAACAGAAGCTAAAAGAAAAACTATACTGCTTTACTGTTAATTCACTCAAATTTTATGATCCTTTTCTTAGGAGTTGAGAATTAGCCCTTACAGAAGACATATAAAAATACAGTTGTGTCTTCTTTCTGAAAGATCTTAGTCTAGACTTTAACATTCCCTTGGGAGATTGTATGAAATTATCCTGTACTAATAATTTTCTTGAAAACTCCAAGTCATCAGAACTACAGAATTAAAAACTTTTTCCCTTTCTTCTTAGAACTCAGGCCCCTATGTTTAGACCAGACACAACTCACCTTCATCCGCAGCACCGTCGACTCTTGCATCAGAGACAGCAACAGAATAGAAAGTAAGTAGTCATCCTGCTCCTTTGTGGTTTCTTAATTCAGCTTTTAATTTTGACAGTGTAGTGTAATAAGGTGTTTTCCAAGTTACCATAATTCTACTGATCATTAACCAGAAATACAGTTTAGATGTGATTTGATTTTTGACTGAGGAGGGGGTTGTCAACATTTTATATTCATTTCTTATAGAGTTCTTAACCATACTCTTAATTGCCTTTTATCATCGCAGCTCAGAGATAATCTTGAAATACAGTAGCTAGCCTTACATTTGGTTCTTATATGAAACCAACAGTTATCTATTTCTGCATCTAATTTTTTAATCTTCATTCAGCAATACCAATATATATTTATATATGTAGTCCCAGCTATGTACCAGGCACTTTCTTAAATTTGGGGTATTGAAAGAAGAACAAGATATTTCAAATTCCTGCCATGGAACTGATTTTCTGTAGTCATTCATACATATAAAATAAGAAAATTAAATATAACTTTCAGACTTCTTCCACCTTCAGTTTTAAGGTTCTGTGGTGTAGTTCCTTACATTAAGTAAAGAACTAGAGTATTTTTTTGCAGGGAAAAAAATACATGCTCTCTTAAAACAAGACACAAAAGGTACAAAACATAAAGGAAAAGATTAATACATTTGACTACTGTTAAAATATGAAACTTCTAGTGCCTATAGTTAATATGGTGGTGTATACTTTAGAATTTGTTAGGAGGGTGGATCTCAGGTTAAATGTTTAAAAAAAACAGGGACACAGGCAGGTGTTGGGTATATCTCTGTTACCTTAATTGTGGTGATGGTATTAAAAGTGTTTGCATAAGTCCAAACTTTCCAAAGTGTATGCATTAAATATGTGGATATTTTCTGTATATTAATTATACCTTAACAAAGCTGTTAAAAACTTACCAATATTTTTAAAATATGTGAACTAATGTATAGCAAAAGATACCATATACAAACATGCAGTTTCCAATAGCAGAAACCTACATGGCTCATAAAAATGAAAAGATTTTCAAGCACACTTACAATTAGAAAAATAAAGATTAAATGAGAAAACCATTTTACAGCATCAGGCAAAAGTTGAAGTGGCTCAACACTGTCATTGTTGGCAAGAATGGAGTATAGAGCATCTCTCTAGAGAATTTGGCAGTAAATAATAAGGTTGAAAATGTGGATACACCACATCATAGCAGTTCTACCTTTTAGAATATACCTGGGTATGTTATCAACGTGGATTAATATGAAAAGCATATTGAGTAAGAAGCAAGGAGCAGAAGTATATGTCTAGTACCATGTATGTAAAACTTAAAGGCATGATGGAATAATACTGTATAATATTTAAAGATGTACACACAAATAATAAAAGTGTTAAAACCTTTCAGGGAGAATACCTACCAAGGTCAGGATAATGGTTCCTCTGGGAAGGAAGGGAAGCTGAAAAATAGGACCCAGAGGGGTACAAGAGGGCCTTCAACTGTAAATGGAACGGTAGTTGCTGTAATAATCCTTTTTTAAAGTCTGAAGCAAATTTGGCCAAGTAAGTTTTTTTTCTTAAGTGTAGGTAGTGGATAATGGACATTTATTAGAGTATTTGCCGAATTTTCCTTTACACTTGAAGTACTTTGTGATTTTCAACAAGTTTAAAAAAAAGTACACAGACTGGAAGTCAAATTGACCTGTGTTCAGATCTTTTGCTCTCCACCAAGTGTACAGCTTTGGACAAGTTACTTGATCTTTCATGGCCTTGGTTTGTTGTATTAAGTCGAAAAGATAAAACTACTTACCTCATAGGGTTATTGAAGGGCTTATACAAAAGTACCTGGGTGAAAGTGCTTAGCATATGGTAAGGCACTGTATCTCAGGTTTATTTCCTTTATGTATTGCATAGCTCTTTGCTTTCATATTCTGTTAACATTTAGTTCTTTTTCATGCCTCTTTTAACAAAAACAAATAATTTTTTTTATTGGCCTGTTTTGTTCCTGTATTGTTATAAGGCAGAGTTACTGTACCCACTTGGAGTGAATGTGGCATATGTTTGTTTTCAGTCAGCATCGGACTCTCAATGGTGCAGGAGATAGAGGAAGTCACCGGATAAGTCATCAAGATCATCTCCGAAAGGATCCATACGCCAATCTCATGTTGCAGCGAGAAAAGGACTGGGTCTCTAAAATCCAGATGATGCAGCTGCAAAGCACTGATCCCTACCTGGATGATTTTTATTACCAGGTAAATACTGTGTGTGCTCTTTTTGAGGATAACAGTTTAATCCCTCACTCTGGTGAAGGCACTCATTTAAAAATTGGTAGAACTAAGTATTGATAGAATTTTCTTTTGAGGTAGTCTTCAAGTGAAAAAGAATTGACTAGGCAAATTTTGCCCTCTTCACAAGTTGGAGAGCCTCTCACACTAGTCACTGAAAGGTTTGTGTGTGTGCCTTTTAGTTCTTACACAAAGAGGCTGTTGGATCAACATGTTTAGATCCCTCTGGCATGAGTAATTTGGTTCTTCCAATTAAGAAATTCGCAGTTGAACTTTAAAGATATTTCCATTGATTTCTGGCTTTTCTGAAGGCTTGGATTTTTTGATAAAGTAAATCTATAGCAGTCTAACAAAATTTAGTTATCAGTACATTTATAGAGTTTGAGTTACTACTGCCACTAGTTTAATTATTTAATGATAAAGAACAGCCATATTCTGTGCTTGTTACAACTGAAATGATCTACTCATGCGGTAGAATTACTTTGAAAAACTGGAGAAATTGTCAGCTGCTGAAGAAGTGCAAGGTGAAGGCCCTAAGAAGGAACGCACCAAGCTCATTACACCTCAGGTGGCCAAGCTGGAGCATGCCTATAAGCCAGGTAAGGCAGTTAACCCCAGGCCCATAATAAGAAATTTGACATACTGCTGATACGATAAAATATGACCAATTGTATAGGTGATTGGAGAGAAATGCTTGAAACTGCTTTATAAAGTACCATTGTCCTTAATAAGTAAAGATCAGCCATTATTAAAGCATAGAATGAATAGTTTAGCAGATGACTTTTTAGATCCTTTTTTACTTGAGATTCCATAACTATAAAACCGGTTAATAATTTCTAGTATCCTTAAAACAGATAAAGGGGAAATACTTCAGATTATTATCTGATTATCACCAGCCCAAAAATGGTAAAGGATAGATTTTTAAAGATTGCTTTTATATAATACATAGATTTTTGTAATAAATTTTTAGACGGAGGAAAGAGTAGAGAATATAAAAATCCCTTTTGTAAATTGCCTGCCTGCATTGCTGAGTTTTTATTTATTGGAAATGTTTTGTCCTTGCAGTGCAGTTTGAGGGCTCTCTGGGAAAGCTTACTGTCTCCAGTGTGAATAATCCGCGAAAAATGATTGATGCTGTTGTGACATCTCGGAGTGAGGATGATGTAAGTTCAGCAGAAGTGTGTGTTTAAGAAATTCTGGGTCATCACTGCTTCTCTTGGGGTCATTGTGGAATAGAATCAGGCATAATGGAGTTTATCATCTTAGCTGGTAGCTTCCCACCTGGCCTGTCATGGCATTCTGGCTTTCTGCAGATTTGTCAAGAAATTAACACCTTCATCTCTAAGGCAGCCAGGTAGGACCTGGGGTGGCAGAAATGTTACAACCGGGTAACTAGCTGCAAACAGAATCAGCAATTTACTACAGTTTTAAAAATTAACATTTTCCATGTGTTTTAAGATTATCCTATAGTATTTTCTTCTACATTCTACAATTACCTTTGGCCTGTCTATGAGTTCAGTTTAGTTGTTTGTGTGTGGGGAGGTGATTCAGTCAATTCTGTATCTTTGTCCACAAAAGACAAAGTTTTTGATGATTAACTTTCAAACAATCAAGATTCTCAAAGTATTGTCACAAATGGAATTATATACGCACATGTAGAAAATTATTTTTAACAGAGGTAAAGAGTTCACAATGAATAGTCTTGTCTTTTTTTTTTTTTTTTTTT